TTTAATAAATAATAGTATTTTAAATAATGTACCAATTTTTAAAAATATTTAGAGAAGTTTATAAACAAGGCTTAAGATTATTAAATTGCGAATTACTCAAAAACTTTTAAGTATTTAGATTAGCCAATGTGAAAGTAGAAATTAGGTAGGTATTACTGTATATATCTAAGTGAAATTTACAAAGTGGCAGCTGAGTTTTAGCCATATTATAGGTAATTAAAAGTCACGAGCTCATGCTGAACACTAAACATCTTATTGTGATCCACTCTAGAGCATTCTTGAAACCTTTCCGAGTGAAAGAGACTCTCACAATGGCCATGTCGTGTTATTATCTAGTCAAAACAATCTGATTTGCAGTATCGAATCGGTTAACCCCATTCCCAACATTGTTTATTGTAATTGTGTGTTTGGCCATATCGAATACATCAATGTCAGCCATTGGCACAGACGACACTTTACAGCTGTCAGCTGTGCCTTGCTCTGTGGCTGTGTTCTTTGCTGTTGTTGTTGTTGTTGTTGCTGTTGCGGCTTGTTGTATCTCTTTCCATATTTAATTCAGTTTCAGCCAAAAGAAATGTTGCAAATTGTATGCATAGGTTGGCTTTCGCATGGTACGAGTCAAAGTTTCGTTTCACATCCGTTTGGCTCGGCATATTTGATTAGCAGCAACAATTCACTTTCTTCTACTGCACTTCTTTTTTATGTTTTGCCTGTAGATTGGTCCAATGTTTGTTTTTGCAGACAATGCAATGTGTGTTTGTTTGTTTATTTGCTCGTGTATATATTACGTTCCACTTGGCTGGCAGAGTCCAGAGTCCGCCTGCCAGCCCAGGTTTTTCATCATCATCGTAGTTAGTCGCCGTCGTCATCCGTTTACTGTATCATAAACATTTATGCCAATTTTTTTTCATTCCATTCGCGCACTCGCGAAACCTGTTCCCTGTGATTTCTTGAGGTATGTATTTGCCTGGCACGACATTTGTTCCTGCGCTTCCAACGTGCCCCCAAATGATGCTGATGCTGCTGCTGACGCTGACACTGACTATGACGCTCTGCCTCTGTCCGCTGTCGTCTGTCTTCGGTTTCGCCCTCAACCTCGCCCTCGCCCTTGTCTCCGTCTCTGTCTCTGTCTCTGTCTCTGCTGCTGCCTTCTCCTTGGACTATGTTGACGTCGGCAGCGCCATCGACTCACTTCATGTCGTCACGCGATCTTCAATCCGTTCATTAATTCAGTCGGCATACGGTTACTCGCTTGGGTAGGCGTAGAAGTAGCTGGAAGTGTTAATTAGTTGTTACTGTCTCCCTTCAAGTATGCACACACACACAGACACACACACACAGGCAGGCATTTAAGGCTTATATGCGAAACTTTGACAATTACTGACAATTGTGGGCGTATATCACTTATGAGTATATGTTTCCTACGGTACTTAAGTCTTACATGGAATTAGTCGTGTTTCCTTTCTTTTCTGTTTTCAGTTAACGATAAGAGCCAACAGGTGTTGCGTCACAGATATTCTAATTTGATTATCTGCTCATCGCTGGGCCTCGCTGCACTCTCAGCCCATTTCCATAATTGTTTAAATTGAGCCAAACTCTGGGGCTTAGCAAACTGTCGTGGGTCGTGTGTCGAATCGGGATATCGACATTGAAAAATTCCATTTGTTATTCTGTAACTGCGAAACGGCGGTGGCTGCTGCGACTGCGATTCCTGCTGCTGCTGCTGCTGCGGCTGCCTGACAGCGGAGACAAGATAAAAATTAGTGGTAGGTGCATCCCAAGGCTTTCAAATAAATTCCTGCGTGCAATTTCGGCCCTGGCTGTCCCGTCTGTCCGACTGCCCGACTGGATGTGATCGTGAATGGGTATGAGAATGGGAATGGCTATTGGTACATGGGTATGGGTATGGGTATGGGAATGGGTATGTGAATGCACAGAGCCCGACTTGGAAATCAAAATCGGCCTTTGCCGAAAAGATGCGCAGGTGATGCGCTCAGCCCGAGGGCATATCAGGTCTGTGGATGCAAACTTCACTTGCTGCCTTGCCTGCCTTGACTGCCTTTCCTCCTCTCTGTCTCTTTCAACTGTTGTGGGTGTGTAACTTACACACACATACACAATCACACAAGCACTCCATATACAGAAATATTTATTTTGTAAGGTATATAGTACTTATGACATGGAGCATTGGTTAGTCGAGGGTGCCGAGTGCGTTAAGATGTCCCTTCGGTAGGCTCAGCCAATGCTGCTCTGCTGAAAGCGTTTGCTTAGACTTCTTGTTGGTCACGACATTTCCAATTTGGCGCGAATCGTTTTCATACTCGCCCACAAAATGGAATGGGGAATATGGGTTTAGGAAACTTCGTTGAGCTGTCTGTATGCCAGCAAAGGATTTAACTAGAGTGAATACTTATCCATTTATACGATCATCTAATATAAAGTTTTAGTGCTACATAGTGGGCATAAATATACTACGAGTATATCTATATATAATATATGTATATCTTTATTCTCTATATTTGACCAAATATAGCAGTAAATATCAATCATATAATGAATAAATGATCTCAATTTATTATTTTTATTATTTTGTAAAAATATTGACGAAAGCAATTTTATTTTTGGCTAGATTAGATTTTGATTATAAAAATATTCTGCAAAAAATTATTTCTTTCTGTATAACTAAATCCACAAATTCGCTCGTTTTTAATTGTTTTGAATATTTAAAAGTTAAA